GAGAGCAAATGTGATCAGCAACACAAGTAAACTTGATGGTTATTTCTCACTGCATACGAACAAACTGACTTTCTGATTTTTATACCGGTTCACTCCTGAGCTAGTTGACGAAGTCAGCTCCTGAGAGATTCTGGGAACGGTACAGAAAATCGGGTTTTCAGCAGGACTAAGTGGCCCTGCCAGGGAAGTTAATGGTCTTCCCCGAACTATCTTGTCTTTAACTGCAGTACAATAGATTTATGTTTGTAAACTAATGACCCTTAGGTCATGATACAAAAGAGCAAAGGATTCCACTTACATGAAACCCTAAAAAGACCACAATAGCCTACAGACAGAAAACAGGTCAGTGGTTTCCTGGGATTGGAAAGGGGGGAAGGGGTGAGGGTGGGAAGTCGATTGGGATATAGCATCTGAACTTTTTGGGGTGATGAAAATGCTTTATATATTTTTATTGTTGTGGTTGCACAGGTGTATGAACTTGTCAAAGTTCATCAAAATGTACACTTAAAAAGATTACACTTTGTGTCTAAACTATACCTTAATAGTTGATTTAAAAATTTAGGATCATGAAGGAATGTCCTATTTCAATACCTCCCCCACCCAAATCCCATTCCCGTAGATTTTTTTCCTTGATCACTAATTTCCAGAAATTTATCAAGTACATGAGCAATAAATAGAACGTCGTACAGATTTTCTTCTTACCTAGTTTATCCTGGCAATACAAACACTTTAATTTAAAGACTTTTCAATCCATTATACCTTGACGGGTAAAAAAGGAAGCAGTTCTCAGTCTAATTCTGTCTCACATTAATGAGAGATTCAGATTGCCGCATGATACTGAGACTGCTAATGGGGAGAACGTACCCAACTGGCTTCACTGAAGCCATGTGCTCCTATTACCACAAGCTTCAGTTAGCAAAACTGCAATATAATGTGACACTGTCTTTCCTCGAGTGCTTTTCTGCCCAAGCTTTGAACAAAATTAAGTCAGCCAGATTTACTCGGTCCAGCTCTCGATCCTAACAGTTTCTCCCTCAAAAGAGCGAGTGTGTCTCTATTTTGGCGAGCACGAAAATCCCCTTCTTTCCCAATTCAAGGTGCAGAACTCTAAATGTAGCTAACTACAAGGAACCCATTCTATGTGGCTCTATACACGTTTTAAAATGAAAATTTCCCAAAACTCAACCATAAGCATGTGAAAAGCCCCTCAAAATTACCATACTTAATAATCACTACCAGGTAAAGGCTGTAACAGTGCTTCCAAAAACTTTTTTGACCACAATTCACAGGAAGAAACACATTTTCTATCACGAATCACCGCATACATAACAGAGGAAAAAAAAGTAACTGAAACAAGTTCTGTGAATACTTAGATTTGTGTACCCTAAGGTGCACATTAATATTTCCTATTGCATTATAAAAAATTAGCAGCACTACTCAGCAAATTGACTTCACAACTCAGCAAATGAGTCCTGATCTGTTTGTGAAAAGGCCAGAGAAAAAAATAACTGTCTCTTCCCTACTGTCCAAGAGATTTCTGGATTGGAGTTCCTAACTCACTCTTTGTCTCTACTAATGATGCACCACCTGCGAGACACCACCCTCAAGGTTTCAGAAATAAAAAGAAAACCCCAACGAAGATCCTAACTTCAAAGAGTCTTTAAGTTTGGTAAAGTAAAAATCTTTACTGGAACCCTAAGAGAGGAACAGGTAATATGGAGAACAGACATTTCTTCCACTTGGAGACAGTTAAGTCAAGGAAGTCTCTAGGAAAATATGGCATCTGATCTGGTTCAAAGTGTGAGAAGGATTTATAAATGTGATGATGTGGGAAGGGGTGGAGTACTCTAAATGAAGAGACAGCATAAAAGCAAGGACAGAGTAACTGCAGGATATGAACAGCAGACTAAAAGCTCCATGTCAAGAGAAGAAAGCTAGATGCTAGAATATAGTCTCTTAAAATTCCAGGCAAAGAAGTTCTTCTGTAGACGGTGGAGGCTCTAGGGATGTGTAACACAACAGAGACCAGACTCTAATTTATACACTGCCTTTTGGAAAGAAGTCTAGTGAAAGTGCTTGGTGGTTTTAAAGTGACTAGACATAATCTGTTTTTACATGCCAAGGTTAAAACAATATTCAAAAAGCAAACATAAATGTTTTAAAAAATGCCTTAGACATGGTGCCCACCTATTAATGTGGACAATGTCCAAGGATTAAATGAATTTAAGTTGACTTAAACATCTTTCATGGTAGAGGTAAATAGTAAATAACCTTATTTACTACTTATCATCTTTAAAGATGATTTTAAAAAATGAAAACAAAAAAACCTGTCTGAAGTTTTCATAGTGGAGAGAGCACTGGATCAGGAGTTTTCTGAAACCTACCAGTTGTATGGCCTTAAATATGATTATAAAAACGGGCACCATAGGAGCGCCTGGGTGGTGCAGTCGGTTAAGGGTCCGACTTCAGCTCAGGTCGCGATCTCGCAGTCCGTGAGTTCGAGCCCCGCATCGGGCTCTGGGCTGATGGCTCAGAGCCTGGAGCCTGCTTCCGATTCTGTGTCTCCTTCTCTCTCTGCCCCTCCCCCCTTCATGCTCTGTCTCTCTGTCTCAAAAATAAATAAACGTTAAAAAAAAAAAAAATGGGCACCATATACTTAAGACCTCCTCTATGTGCCAGGGACTGTAGTAGGTGCTTGAGTAAAAATTTCTAAAGTCCTAGGAGAAAAATCTCCCTTTCTGCCCCAAAACTCAGCTGCTGTTATGGAGCAGAAGCTCACAGGTCAGAAACTTGTTTTTCCAACCCTGGGGAAAAAAAACACGTACTTTCAGATTTCTTCCATCTGAACCTCCAAAAAATTAACTGCTTCTGAAAATTCTTATCACGATATACAAGCACTTTTACCAACTGGGCTTTCCAGCCTAAATTCTCATCAGAACTGCCCAGTGTCCTAGCCCATCCCGCCGGGTCCCCCACCTCCAATAGCACCGTTTGGTGCCTCCGCACATGTTCTTTTCTGTGAGTAGTGCTCTTCCATTCCTTCCTGTCTGCAGAAATCCCATTGTCCTCCAAGCCGGTGAAAAGTGTGGCAACACTGAGTCTTCCACTGAGGCTGTGGGTAGCTCACACATCAGTACTTTACAGAATTGAACGTGGCCTCACTGTACCGTTAGGATTAATTAGCCGTTCGCTTGTCAATCTCCAGCAGGGAAGTAAAGTTATTTACTATTTGCCTCTACCTAATTCCTCCCCAGCACACAGATCGCTGCTTGGTACAAATTAACTGCTAGGGACATGGCTGTCAGCATTCTTCTTCTCACCCTAACGAAAATCCCACAACACTGTGAAGTTTCTACAAATATCCGCTTACAAAACGTTAACGTGGAGTTGGAAAGTATACAAAAACAAATAAATCAAAAGATGCCCATGGACTGAGCTAATGGGTCAAGCCTGACACATTCAAAGGGACACAAAAAGGTGAAAGGAAAACAACAACAAAAGAATTCTACATTCCCAAAGAAAAGAGAGTTCACAGGATGAGCAATGGAGAAGACTACTGATGTGAGAAACAAGAGTTGCTCCGGGAAAAGGCATGAGCAGGGCTGGCAATCTTCTAAGAGTGACGCTCCAGGCACCGAAGGGGCTGGCCAGCTGTACAGCCAGGACAAGAAAGGGAGACCGCTTGGTCGGACTCCAAGACGGAGGTGTGCGGTTCTGCCCCGGCGAGCGGGGCGGGGAGGAGAGGAAATGACGAGCCAAAAGGGGGTGGTAACGGCGGCGGGCCGGAGACCCAGGCCGAGCGTGCACGGAGGAGGGGCGCGTCGGGGCAGGCGGGTGGGCGCACTAACGGACCCCCTCCCCGGACCCGCGAGACGGCGGGGGCGGGCCTGCAGGGCGCCGAGGCGGGGGCGGGCCGGCTCCCTCTCCCCGCCGCTCTCCGGGCCCCGTGGCCGCGGCGCGTACCTTCCCCAGGCCTCACTCGCGACCCAGGTGGGCTGCACACAGGCAGACCCAGCTCTCGGAAGGCTGGGGATCGCGGGCCCTCGTGGGAGATTTCCCGTCCCGAAGGCCGCAGCGTGGAGGGTGCAAAGGAGGGCTTCAGTATGAAGCCCGAACGATCTGAAGGAGAATCGCCAAGGCCCCGAGCGTGTGTGCACCTGCGTGTATGGGCGTTCGTGGCAGGCAGGCCCACCAACCCCGAGCCTGTGGCCTGACAAATTGGGCCTAAGGGCCGGGAGAATGCGGACGCATCCCCAACTGGCACAGCCACCCAGCAAGGGTCTGGACCCAGAGGTGCTCGTTCCCGAGAGCGCCATATCCGCGCGGGGCGGCCCCCTGCAGGCCTCGGCCGGGAGTGGCCCGGGGCGCTCACAGGCCCTCGGCCGGGGCCGCCGGCCGCCCCGCTCGGCTAGGCTCAGCTAGACTCCCGGGGCTCGACGGGCGCCTGGGCCTCTCCTGAGTGGTCAGCGAGACCCGCCAATCGGGGCGCTGGGGCCGGCTCTGGGCCGCTGGATATTGGCTCCTCACACTCACCGTGCCTCGCTCCCCCGGTTCGCTGCCCGCGCTGATTGGCTCCAGTACCGGACCCCGAAACCCAATCAGAGGCTCCAGCCGCCGCTGCCGCCGCCACTGCCGCTGCCTCGCAAAATGGCGAACCCGAACAAAGGGGAATCGGGCCTCCCTCCAACCGCCTCGGCGCAGGCGCCCCTGAGACCACGCCCCCTAACCCCAGCATCTGGTTCAACCCACCCCCAGTTGAGGGAGCATCGCGCAGGCGTTCCCTGGAGCCACGCCCACTTTCCTGAGTCGACACCATCTCCAGCGGAAGGAATACGCAGGCGCCTTCTGGACGCGCCAGATCCTTGAACTCAAACACCGCCCTAAACATAGTACTACGCAGGCGCTAACTATCTTCTTTGCCAACTGCCCACCCCCTTCTCTGCGGTGGCTGGAGACACACCCCTGGGGCTAAGGCGCAAGCGCCGTTCTTCCCCACTCGCGGCGGGCTGTCTCGTTACGCATGCCCGGGCGGCGGCGGGACTTTCCACGGATTTTACCGCCGGAAGTTCGGCGGCCATTACCAAAGAGTGCGAGTTCGGCTGGCTTGCTAGAGAGGCTTGTTTCCGCCCCGCTCCCGGGTGGTGGGCGGCCATTTTAGGTGCGTGCAATTAAGGGCTGTGGCTGGATTGGTTCTGTGTGTGGGTTCGTCTGCTGCTTCCCACCTACCAGGGCTGGATCCGGAGCCCTTCCCCGCGGGGCGGGACTTCGCAACGGCCGACTCCTTTCCAGGTGGAAGGGTAACCCCGGTATGTTGGGGCTTTGAGGGAGCCTTCTCTCTCCTTCCCACGGGACTCTAGGACAGGCCCTATTCCTTCGCTGACCTGCCCTAGGGTGGGAGGCAGAACGGGAGGCCTCTCTAGACTCCTTCCCCGTCCCCCCCCCCCCCACGAGCAGATGGGGGCGAGCCTTCCTTGAGAGGCCTCCTTCCCTCTCCCCGCCTGCGGTTCGGGGGTACAACTCCCCTGGTCCAGACACTCCTCGGTTGCTCAGCGGGACTGTGGCCAAGTCCCTCCTTTTGTCTCGTGTGCCAGACCCACTGGGGAAGTACTTTTGGTTTTGCAGAGAAGAGACAGCCCTGAATCCGCCTTGCCCGGGCGCGGAAAAAGGAGGAGACGAGTCGTAGGGACCGCCTTTCCTTCCCCTGGCCGAGCGGGGCGCCCCCAAGGAAAGCGCGAAATGCGAGCGGGGCCCGGCCGCCTCCAGACCTAGCCATCCTTCCTCATTCTTGCCCCAGAAGAATTTTGTATTACTTTATAGAGCCTGAACGAACTCCCATTCAGCGATAAATGGTGGGGGAAGAAGACTACCAAGTGGGTGGTCAGGGAATTTGAATATTATATGTTCAGGCTGCCTAAGCATTTTTCCTTTTCCCTTCTCGTAGCTGGAGAAACACCTAAGTTCTGGAAATAGCGACTCAGTATCATGGCCGGCAGCCCTAATGAAGATCCAGAAGGAAGCAGAGTGCGTAGCAACTATTAACTTATTGGTGAACTGAAATTCAGAATAATTAAGGTCAAAAGCATAAACACTTTAATTAAAGCCATAATTGAATTGTCTTCCTCCCTCCCCAGCTGATTGGCTTCAGAAAGGCTGATACAGTACGCGGCAGAGATCATGATCACTTTTCTCTTACACGTGCTTTAATTTGTTGTAGTTAACTCCTTAAATTCTGCAGCTTTGGTTTTATTTATTTTTTAACGTTTATTTATTTGTTTTGAGAGAGCGCCTCCCAAGCAGGCTCCACGCTGTTTTTGCAGCCTGGGGCTCAGTGTCAAATCATGAGGTCATGACCTGAGCCGAAATCAGGAGTCCGTCTCTCAACTGACTGAGCCACCCAGGTGCCGCAGCAGATTTGGTTTTAAATCAAGGAGGGGCAGTGGTGGGAGACACAATAAAGGAAAATGAAAGAAATATCTTAGTGTTTTTCTGTATCAAATAAAACCTTTCTTTTCCCTTCTTCACATTTTAGATCACTTATGTGAAAGGAGACCTTTTTGCATGCCCCAAAACAGACTCTTTAGCCCACTGTATCAGTGAGGATTGTCGAATGGGTGCTGGGATAGCTGTCCTTTTCAAGAAGAAATTTGGAGGGGTGCAGGAGCTGTTAAATCAACGTGAGTTTTGAAAAACAGCTTTTCTCATCCGCCTTGGCTAGACTGTCTTAATCACCTGTTACATTTTAATTATTAGACAGGATATACATGCAGTGGTTCCCAACCACTGAGAACTTGAACTCTTCAGATTAAGGTTTTCCTCTACAAAAATGGCCTACAGTTTGGGTCTTCATCACACCAAACTTGAATTCTCATAAACGTTTCTAATCTCTTCCTCTGTCATTAAACTTTGTTGATATTACTTCAGTTTTCTGAAACTTTTAATAACAGAGGTGCTTAATGAAGTCCATAGATGTTAACTAGGCATTCAAGATCCTGTCTACCTATATTTTACTTACTCCTCAAAGAGGAGTTTAAAACCTCTTCCTTACGGATCGTTCCCATCACTTTACCAGTGATTTTAAACCAGAGACAGGAGTTAGAATCACATGCAGAGCTTTGGCAATAGTTGCTCCGATCACGGTCCAGGCTTATCGGGTCGGAGACTCCACTGGTGATTCCATTAAAAGTTTATACTGCTTTTTATTGTAGTTCTTTGTAAACGGGACACCTTCCCTTCATTGAAAGCTCTTCACCAATTAGGAACTTTTACACATCTCTGTGCTCCATAATGCTTAACACAGTAACTCTTTATATGTAAAAGAAAAAGTTATTGAAAGTTTTTTAAATGAATAAGTAAGGGTGTATTTGAAAATATGGGCAGGACGGGATAAGAGGAAAACAAGACTGAGAAAACGGATAAGAAAGCTGGAAGTTAAGGAAGGCTGATAAGAAACAAAGTGTTAACAGAGACCCCAGGTTTCTTCAGAGTTGAAATTACTGTTTAGTACTGAAGTCAACTCAAATCTGTAAAGATTTTATTTTAAATTGAAGAATGCAAATCGGTGTTGTTTTTTTAAATACCTTTCTACTATTAAATAACTTTTTTGTAGAAAAGAAATCTGGAGAAGTGGCTGTTCTGAAGAGAGATGGGCGATATATATATTACTTGGTAAGACAAGGGTCGGTTTTTACGGTGTTCTAAGGACTGGATGTGGGCTGCTGCATTTGTGTTGCTCGTGATGTTCCGTTCTAGACAGACGAAGATGGCCACAACTTCTGATCCATGCCAGCCCAGATCCAGTGGTGGTGGCTATTGGGAGCACTGCGTTGGAAAGGAGCACGAGGCTGCCTCCCAGCTCCACTGTGGCAACTACCAAAAGCCTGTGTTCTAAGACTTGGAAAAATTAGGGATGTCCCCCATGCCTTAATTCTTTCCTAATTATGGTGAGATAGAAACATATCTCAAAAGATGGATATCCCAAAGGAGTTTTTCTTTTGTTCTTCCCTCTCAAATGCAGTGCCTAGTGTTACTTAGCTCTTTTCCTGCCTTCTGCCTCAATGTGGGATTCTTCCACTGTCCATATGTCCTTTAGGCCCTGGAAGGAGTGTGGCTGCTTGGTGATGGTGCTGAGCGACTTAGAGCAGCCAACCCACTACAAGTCTGATGTGGATAGCACACTGAACGGGGACATGCCTTAAGCCCTTGGGATGCTGTCCTTAAGGTCGATGTGACTTCCAGTCTTGTTTGGAACACTACCAGTTTCTCTTTGTTCTTTATAGAGAAATGAAAAGCAAACAACTGTGGTTTCTAAATAAATAGACTTAACAGGAAGTTTTTAGGTGGCATGGGTTCTTTCTTGTTACAGATACATTGCTTATCTTTTGGAAGTGGCACAGAGACTTTGACCTACCTTCTTTAAAAACAATAGACAATAGGCACGGCCTGCTAATCTCCTGGGCTTCTTGGGAAAAGGAAAAGTTATTACATGGTGCTCTCCGGGTTTCTCAGGCCCTGTTTAGTGGATTTTCCTGAGGGCCTCCCATAACTGGAAGGGACAATATGAGATTGGTCCTGCTCTAAGGAATTCTGAAAGTATATAGTTTTTTAATGATCAGGATGTTGTGAGAATGTGATGGCTTTTCTTTGGCTATCATTTTGGACTAATGGAAGTTTTAAATTCATTCTTTGTACTCAGATTACAAAGAAAAGGGCTTCACATAAGCCAACTTATGAAAACTTACAGAAGAGTTTAGAGGCCATGAAGTCCCACTGTCTGAAGAATGGAGTCACCGACCTCTCTATGCCCAGGCAAGGAAATCCAGGGCCCCGAATGAATACTTGTAATCGAGTGGTGACATTTGCTGTCTCACCGGGAGACAAATGACTTGAAAGCCTAACTCAAAATACAGGCTTAAAAGTGGACAAATTTAAAAGCTTTTTAACATCACCAGTGAACCAGTTGTCAGACCTCAGGCTACGTTTTACCCATTTCTTAGCCTGTGTTGAATGAATCAGAATAATTAAAACACACAGCCTGCTTAGTCGGGAGGACATGTTGTTGAGTCCTCTCTGTTGAATCTGGACATCTTCTATCTAAGGCTGAGACTCTGTTCTTGAAGGAGTAAAAGCTTAAGAACCAAATCTGAGCAATTGTGATTTTCTTCTGGGCCACTTCAGGTATCCCAAGCCCGTTAATGTGGTACAGAAAAAGTTGTAAATTATCACTGCCTTCTAATCTGCATGCTTGTTTTGTAGTCCATGTGGGTAGTAGCCAGAGGATACGTCACTTATGTAATGTCTTAGACCCTAGCTATTGGGAACTTAAGGGAATGACATTGGGGGTTCAACATGCTCTTTACTTTCATTTTGGGAAATAGGCTTGGGGTCATTTCTCTTCCTGTCAGTCTGGTTTTTAGTCAGTGCTGACCATGCATGCAGGTTTGCTCCAAGCTCCACGTTAATTATAAATGTGGCTACAAGGTCCCTCATCTTACCTTGGGCTTTAATGTATTCGTGACTTATGTATCAGAAATTGTTGGGTGTTTTTATCACAGTTTTTTCAGGGATTTAATTATGTGAAATTAGCAATATTAAGTCTTCTTTTTTTTTCCTGTAGGGATATTGAGGATCAATAAGGTAACATCTTAGAAGAAAGGTGCCAGGTAGTAGTAGAGTTTTATGGGCTGATTGATGTTTCACCAGGGTGTTGCAAAGACTGAAATGCAATCAGCTCAGGACTTCCCGACATTTTATTTTGATTTCCTTTTTGCAGAGATCCTGTCCTTTGTCCTTCTTTTTACCTTCCTTCACCTTCCATTCCTTTATCATAAGCATATTTTAAAAATACCAGCTAGTTTTTATCAATAGATCTAGAAGGATAGTGAGGTTCCCGTATCACCGCAGTTACACATTTTCTAAATGTAGCCTCAAACAATTGAGAAGTGGTACCTTATTAGGCAAAAGAGAAGTGACAGCTATTGGATGTTGGGGCTGTCTAGGAACAGCCTTAGGTGACTCACAACAGGAATTAACTTGCGGACTCCCGCCATAGCTGCCTAGGTGTGAGGCCAGATCATTTGTCTTTTTGCTTTCAGTGGGTACAGCCTAAGGGAAGTGGAAAGAAGTGCCTTCTCAGATAGCTTCATCACAACCAGCGGAGATGTTTTGTCTTTTTCAGGATTGGATGTGGTCTTGATCGTCTGCAATGGGAAAACGTATCTGCAATGATTGAGGAGGTGTTTGAAGCAACAGACATCAGAATTACTGTGTACACACTCTGAACAGACGGGCGCTTTGGATGTGTCCACATTCTCCTGTTTTAACCCCTACTGGACCATAGCACTGGGTGAACTGGTCTATTTAAGTCCTCGGTCAGGGGAAGTTTCATGCGAAGTAGTCTGTGTCACAGGCCAGACTTGGGTTACTGTATTCTCATGATTGGACTGGAACTGTGGAGGAGGGATTGCTTGGGAAATGATGCTGTGATGTTTTTTGCAAGGTAAGGAGTAGATGGCCTGATAGGAGACAAGGAAACCGGATGTTGGGCCTCTGACCCCTGTTTCTCCGGGATGCTTCCTGACTTGTTTGGCTTGCCACTGGGTGGCAGCATTGATTATACTTCTCTGCTGTTTAAGAGAAATTTCAGGAAGGATGAACATTTCAGTTAATTTTCCATCTTTTGTCATTTGTGAGTTTGCTTAGTATTAATCTAATGTCACGTTCATCCTAGGAGAGAGTGATGGGTTTTGTTTTGTTTAAATTACAAAGATGAGTGTTATGTTGTTAACAAGATATTTGTGGTGACAGAAATGGAAGAATAAATATCTTTTGGGGTCTAGTAAGGTTCTGTACACACATCTGTTGTTCTGGACCTGGGTAATGGAAGATTCGCCTGAAAATTAATTGGGAGAAATCAGACAAAGGGTCCAGGGGGAAGAGCAGCAAGGTGAGAAGAAATCAGAATGGACAAGAACTGTGGGTCAGTATTTCTGGAAAGGAGGGTTTAGAATCCTTTTCTGGTGAACCCTTTCTTCTTCCACCACAAAGCTTCTGTGACTGAACGTGTATGAATTCAGCCATGAAACAAATGAGGTAACGTATAGTAAATGCCTGCTGAATTGCTCAGGGCAGAGTAATGACTCAACAAATCAGCGGCTCTCAACAAAATCCTTACGAATCTTTTTAAGAAAAAGGCCCACTTCCTTCAGAAATTCTAGTTTGGTAGTTTGGGGTGGGGTGGAGGGCTGGCTATATTTCTTTGTGCTTTTAAGCAGCAGAAGGTTGTGGTATGCAGCCAGCTGGAATGGAGAATAGTAAATATTAGTCCCCTTTTCTTTCTAAGCTAAGAGAGCACCACTTTATCCACTCCTGTGCTCATGGTGAAAGAGTATGTCCCCGGATTCAGTATCCAAGGTATTGGGAAAACTAGTGGAATTTTCTGTTTTACTGTTACTATGGTATTAAAACAAGGGCACCTGGCTGGTTCAGTCAGTAGAGCATGCAGCTCTTAATGGCAGGGCCTTGCATTCAAGCCCCACATTGGGCATACAGCCTACTTGAAATAAAAAAAAATTAAAGTTAGGGGTCCCAGGGTGACTCAGTAGAATGTCCCGACTCTTGGTTTTGGCTCAGGTCACGATCTCCTGGTTCTTGGGTCTGAGCCCCACATCACCACAGAGTCCGCTTGGGATTCTCTCGTTCCTTCTCTCTCTGCCCCTCCCCCGCTTGCATGCTGGCTCTCTCGCTCTCTCAAAATAAATCCGCTTTTTTTAAAAAGTTAAAATAGCGAGACCAACTATTGATTTTCTCCCTAGAGTGAATTCTGGGTCTGTCCTGGGACTTGCTGCTTACTCAAGTATAAAAGAACTGGTTTTCAGAAGGGGGTTGCTGAAACACTATGGAAACACCAGTTAAATATAATCTTTGTACTTTAGACTCGTGTTCTTATCACACTGCAGCCTGATAGGAGGCAGCAGTTTCAAAAAGTACTTCACTTTTGTATCTCTGGAACAGACAAGTTCATGTTGTTGGGTAGGGGTAGTGCAGGGCCAAGTTCATTGTTAGGCTTTCTTGAAGCTTCACTTCTGTCCACATATGGTAAAACCGAAGGGGGGAAAAGAAATGTCTAAATACAAAACACAGAATGAGAGTGGGATGGTAAGAGCAAGCTTAGAATGAAAGTATTTTGTTTATGCAAATAAATCTTTGCTTTTGGCTCAAAACATTGATTTTGTAGGCTTCTACATTTAAAGGACTTAGGGTTAATTTTTTTCATGGAGTATGAGCCTTGATGATTCTTTGAACAAAGACTAGTCTTGTGGAGGACTGGCTGTAAGTGGAATTCTGGGACTCAGCAGGGATACGGTAAAGTGCTTTGTCATTTGCATATAGTCTTGGGGTCAAATTCTGACGATTTATCACACTTGAAGCTTGGGAAGAAGAGGCATGGTCTGATAGAATGAGCACATTATTCCTGGAAACCTAGTTAGAGTTTGGCAAACACCCAGAAATTCACATGTGAAATTTTGCTTCTCCATAAGACTCAAGCCTTTTAAGAAACGAGACTTGACACCATCCTGCCATCACCATTGAGTACCACATACCAACTACTCCTACAGTATGTGTGTCTGAACATTGAAATCCTACTTATCCTCTCCTTAAGATGCTAATTGCTTATTAGTTGGCAGTCGGAACATGGATATCTCGTAAACAGATTTCCCCTGCCTTTGTTTCACCCTCCGCCATATTCCTTGTCTTCAGAGAAGGGAAAAGGCACTCAATTACAAGTAATCACAGAAGAAAATACTGGATAAAGGTCAAGACTGGGGTGGGAAGTCCGCCTAGGAGAGTTAGTATGCTGTGTTGTTGGACAAGCCCTGGATTAAGCCTCCCTTCCACTTTCTAATATCCTGGCTTGGCTCATAGCCTGGGAACGTCCCTATTCCTAGGACTTGTTCACTGTACATAGTAACTTCTAAATGTCCAAGTTCCCTAAAAAACCTGGTCACAGAAAAACCACACCACTTCTTTTATTAATGTTGCTATCTTTCTTTAAAAAAAAAAAAAAAAAACAAAAAACAACAAATACACATCCGGACATATTTCAAAGATCTGCACAAACCTTGGGTCTGAGGCTCTTTGCCTCAAAGCAACCCATTTGGGGGAATAATTAGGCCCCTCAGCCCCACAGATGCCTGCGGCCCATATACAGTTGTCATTTTCCTTGCAACTCCCTTTTCCCAAGAGCAGCCCTAGAGCAGCCTTAGAGAGAGCCATGGCTTAAATGATTTACAGCATGAGCAGTATATTTAGAGTCCTTGGAGGGCCTGTGCAGGAGGATTGGTTGGTGTCCAATGTTGTCCAGCTCAAGTGGTATTAGGAAGTCAGACATGTCCCAGATGGCCATACATGTCACTGCTGTCTCCTGGTGGCAGCAGGCAGACCTTAGTGAGAAAACAAGAAAGCATGTTACTGAGAGCTCTGCTGGCCCCAATGAAGAGTTTCTTTTGAGCTGAGGTCTCTGTGTGCCCTCCCCAGCAATCTGAATTTCTCCCCCAGTTGCCTGTGATTTCCACTGTTCCCAGTGTTAGGTTTGCTCTATTCATGTTTTGGTGTGGTTCACACAGGGAAAACCCCAGAAGATCCCTACTTTAATTCTATTCTCGTGAGTTAGATACATGGTTAAGTCCTATTCTGTCATTTTTTTTTTTTTTTTTAAAGATGGAATAAGAAACGTAGGGCAAATTTTCTTTAACAAATGCCCATTTCTTAGTATTAAGCGGAGTTGTTCTTTAGGACTTTTAGATTACAACTGGATTTCATGCCTTTTTTTTTTTTTTTTTTTTTTTTTAAACTGGGTACATTTTAACCTTTCCCTTCAGGAACATGAATAACTCAAATACAGTACAGAGAAGCATGTTAACGGGTCCAGATAATACGGTCATGTACACTAATGGAAAGAGGCTTATAATGTGGAATATGTCCAATATTTTATTTTAAAATAATTTGACTTGGAAATGGACTTTCCCCTCAAACTGATTTATCTATTTTACTTCCGTTTAGATTAGCGTAAGATACAACCCTCAATTATCCAAAATTAAAAGCTCCTTTTAATCCTCCTTGAAATGCTTACTTTTTATAGCAGATTTAGCTATCTAATTATTTAACTTCATGGAAAAAACAACGTGTGTGCACAGGTGCGTGCACATGCACACACACGCATCTCTGAAGACTTGCTGGTTAGGCAGCTGGAAGAAGTGGCCTGTGACTCGGAAAGGCATTTACGAAGAAAGTATACTATAGTTAAAATTAAGCTACCATTCATCATTCTGGAGTCTGAGTAGGGTTTATAATTACAGTGATAGCACCTACACTAATATAATTCTCAAGGTATTTAAAAGTTTGGTATTTTCAGAAGTCACCCTTAGAAATCTATTTTTATCACTCGCCACCACTAGAGCGGTGTCACATTTTATGTGAACAGAATACCATGTTGCGTTACGTGACCATATTCTCACTGAATTCAATGGGCCCTGCTTTTTGTAAAAAATGGCCAAAAATCATGTCCTCTCGGATTGGCAAATGCTCAGCTGGAGAATTATCAGGCACCCTGTGTGCATGTCTAATAGCAGACGTCTGGCAACATCGAGCTCCAGAACATTGATATTTCCAAAAACGTGTCTATGAAGCCACATGTTCTCTTAAGAATATTAAGGGTGAGAGACACCAAGAGTAAATTGATAGCTTCATAGAAGCTTCATCGCTTCATAGAAGCTTCATAGAAGCATGCTGCATTCACATTTTGTTAATATGTGAATTGTTCCAGAATTTAAGTTGGAGAAGAGGGTGGTAAAGACCCTTTCTTCGTTTCTGGAGGATCTTGATCAGTAACTCAGGCCTTGTGAAGGGACTTGGTTATAGCATTTTTGCGGGAGCAAACTAGATCAGACCGAACTCAAAAAAAGTTAGCAAAGGATCTTTTACCCTCTTTCCTGAGGGTAATCGGCCTGTTTCTGTGAGAGTCTAATTTACCCTCAGCAAGAGGCCAAGTTGGCCTTAATTGTGTCCTAATTATTTGCCTAAATAGCTAATCTTTACTTCCAGTTCTATCACATCTTGATGTCTGTAGGAGGCTACTTCTGAGCTGCTGTCTCATTTACAAACATCTTTTTAACCCTTTCTGTATTCCTGCATAGAGGAACTTGTTGCTGTGGTATCCCCATTCCTGAATACAGCATTTTTCTATGAGTTCCGCTGAGGTCTTCTCAAAGTAAGAAAAATGTTCTTGTGTTGTATATTCACACCGAAATTATTGGTCTCCTTCAAGGCCGAACCATTTATTTGAAAACATGAAAGCCTCTCTGGCAAAATAATAATAAGTTGAATACAAATCCGTTTGGGGACTTTCAAAAGTACCCCAAATGAAAAAATTACATTTGAAGGAATGAAAAGCCTACATCACAGGACAATGGAATGGTAAGATTGCAATTGGGGGTGGGAACAGGGCCTCCAGAAGATGTCCGGAGTCAGTAAGTCTGGACTCAACGCCAGTGGGAGCATGCTTCTTGAGGGACAGTCTGACCACGGCAGGTCACTCGGTCTCACCAAAGCTTGAAGATTCCTGTCAACCTTTGAGTATTCCAAAGTTCTGGGGAAAGTGCATTTGATACAACAGGGTAGGAACGAAAAGGGTTTAGGGAGACGAATTTGCAGTTAAGAGAAAAGGAAAACTTGGGATCTTCTAAAATGTGTTTACGGGGCGCCTGGGTGGCTCGGTCGGTTGAGTGTCCCGACTTCAGCTCAGGCCATGATCTCACGATTTATGGGTTCGAGCCCCGCGTCGGTCTCTGTGCTTACAGCTCAGAGCCTGGAGCCAGCTTCGGATTCTGGGTCTCCTCTCTCTGCCCCTCCACCACACGTGCACTAACTCTCTCTCAAAAATCAATAGATGTAAAATGTGTTTACAACCCCCCAGAGCAGAGAAGGGAAATTCGTTCCTGGCCAGGTCATACCTCCTGCACTCTGCCACCTGCCCGCCAGCCTTCGACCCAAGTTCAAGGCTAACAAGACCACAGGGGCGCCGTGACTCACGTGAGGCTGGGCCCGGCGGGCCTACTTCAGGATGTCCGCCAGCTTCTCTTCGTAGTACAGGAAGTTCTCCTGAATGTCCTCCCAGGGCTCAAAGGCCTTGGACTCGCCCTCTTCCTGCTCCACAAAATTCTGCCAGACGTACTCGAAGTCCTGGGGCTTCATGATGCGCAGCCGGCAGCCGGCCTCCTTCAGCCTCCGCAGCGCGGCCTGGACGTCGGGCTCCTCCCACATGAAGAGGCGCCCCACCAGGATGAGCAGGCGCAGGTTCTTGGTCTTGCCGAGGGTCCGCACGATGCGGTCGGCGCAGGCGGCACAGGGGCTGGACGACACGTACCAGGTGACGTTGTAGCGCACGGCCGGGTCGCAGGCCGGCAGGATGGTGTTGAAGAAGGCCTCCTCGGCATGGGCGGCGGCGTGCTCGTCCTCCAGGTACCCGCGGGAGGCCTGCACCTGACCCCCCTTGCCCTGCGCTTCCACCACGTAGCAGAGGAAGGTCTTGTTCCGCCCGGAGCTGTACTCCACGTTCCGGAACTGAAACTTAAAGAAATTGACGGGCAGCCGCTCCCTGTGGGGCGAGAGGGCAGAGGGGACAGGGGAGAAGAAAGAAGGGTGAGCGCTTATGTCTAAGAGCAGGTGGCTCTCCAGCCTCGGTGCCTCAGAGACACGTCGGCTCTCCCGGGCAAAGCCGGCCTTGCCCAGGCTAGCATCAGCGACCACACGGCGTGAAAGAATTCAGAAAGGTGTTATCTGGAGCAGGGGAGAGAATTTGGAGGTGTGCATTCAGGTCACCCCAATAGTGAGGGTCTCCAAACGCCCCACCATCCCTCCAACACACAGCACGCGCCTGCGTTTCTGAAGCAGTCACTCTCTCGCGGGGGGCTACATAGCCCAATCACCCAGAGGACTCTACACATGTCAGTGCCTGGGCCCCATGCCAAGGCAATGAAATCAGAAGGTCTGGAGGGAACCCACGCACCAGCATTAAAAAAACAAACAAACACACCCTCCAGATGATTCTAAAAGGTGGCAAGGTTGGAAAAGCAGTGTTCAAATAGCAATCTTACAAAGTAGCAAGCATGTAAAATTTCTCATGATAGAGCAAGGGGAAGATTTTGCGGAACATTTCCTGCTT